GCACCAACTTCAGCATTGGTTCTTTTCTCAGTTAACCGAAATGTTTGTTTGCATTTGAACACTGACTTCATTTCAGACTCAGAGACAATTTTCCATGACTTGGACAGTGATGGAAGCCTCAGTCATCTCGGAGACTGTCTCTTGTCGACTGCCGACGGTGGACTTCTGGCAGGGCGGATAGGAAATCCCATTGATCGCCTCTACTCGATGCAAAACTCCTACTTTACCTCATGACCCTGGTTCCACATCCCTAAGCACTCCTCCACCACAGCAGGGGGCAACAAATAGATTGAGTCTCACTGCAGGCGTCTTTCATCATCAAAACTAATTGAATCCCTCAATCGTATCTTAGTCGTGCCAATAAAGCGCTAACCAACGAAACCAAGACAGGATCACACCCTAAAAATTCCATTTAACATGGACAGAATGGGAGTTCACTGGAAAAACATGTTTTATATCACATATATGCACTATTTTTTTTGCTCTGTATTGCTTAAACATTATTGCGACAGTCATAGGCGTGTCTCAGACATCAGCAGGAAGCTGTTCATGACGTGTGTTACCTCAAACTCTGCTCACTGCACAGCAAATAAAAAAAAACTAATCAAGGCTGTATCCGAAATCACCCCTATACTCTTATTCACTATAGAGTGCTGCAGTGATGACATATTTTGTAGGCCTAACCCTGGAAACAAGTTGGCATTTTAGCATTTCCACTTCCACTGTCCTGAAGTCAATGGCTTTTTTTGAATGAGTTTCTGGTGAAATGCCTGAAATGAGGTCTGTGGTTAACACAAGCGCAAAATATTTTCACATTCTATTCCACAACATAAAATACATCAGTAATACCTTACTCATGTTTTTTAAGCTTTTAAGTGACTTGAAAAAGGCAGCTGTTAACAAGTGGCTAAATGGGACATTTGGGTCCAAACAGTTGCTTTCATAGCCTCATTGAGTTTATAATCGCTAACTCAAACTTTTAGGGAAAATGTTTTTTAGATTTCATAAAAGTTGTGTTCATTTGTGAAGATTATCATGATGAACAAAACATGATTATAAACTTTTGTTGATCACAGAGCTTATTTTGTTGGGTTTTTGTTGAAGGAACCAGGGTGATGCAAACCTCTGGATTGGCCTGCAAAAATACGTCATCACTGCAGCTCTCTCGACCACTGAATGAGTGAATGAAACCGAGAGAGACAGAAGTTCTGTCCAGTATGGTTGTGGACAACACTACAAATGACTGTCCCCCCAAACAGTACACTATGTAAGGATAAAGGGGTGATTTCAGACACAGCACACGTCAAATTCATATCACTCTCTCCTTATTGCCTTGCCATCTTTATGTCCGTCTTGAATAGGAATCAGCTTTTATTTAAACCTAATGTAAAAAACCAAAAGAGTCTAGCATGCTGCATAAGTCAAATGTACATTAATATTTCTTGTAAAGAAACAATAATTATTAAAGGTGCACTTTTTTTTTGTATGTTGAGCTGACCAATATAGCAGTTGTTTTGGACTTACGCTGACACCTAGTGGTGTGGATGCAGCATCACTCAAACACAAAAGCAAGGTTATTATAGTAAATTAAAACTAAAGCATAAAAAAAGTTTTCATTACTTTAAATAAAATAAATGTTAATTGAAAAAAAAAAATGTATGTTTTTTTTTCCCCCTCCATGTAGTTGCCAAGCCAACATTTCTCATTTTCATTTAGTTGTTTGTTAAAGCTGCAGTCCGTAGCTTTTTTTGGTTAAAAATGATCCGAAATCAATATTTGAGCAAATACATAACCAGCCAGTGTTCAAAACTATCGCCTTACTTTAGCCCGATTCACAACAGTTAGCTTATAATAATGTTTTTTAATTTGAGTGGTACGGGTAGGTTTTCGCGGGAAATTCGAGCATGCCGCTGCGTTATTCCGTCACTTCTGTAAACATAAAGATTGAGTCCCAGCTACTAGGCTATCGCATGTGAGGATCCTGCAGGTGGCGGATCGTTTATAGCCTTTTCTCACAGCAGCCAGAATAATTAAATGTATCATTCTGATGGCGGATTGTAATCCATAAAAGATTGTGTTTATGAAGCATATGTGAATGAAATTAAATGATATTGCAGTTTTAAATGTGCTTCTGATTACAGATAGCCTGGGATTAAGACGTAGGCTAGAATCTGTGATTGCGAAGTACAGTAAATATCCACACCGGTGTGGTGACTGACAGCCACACATACTCTTCAGAACATTAGATTCATCCGCGCTGGAGCCGTGCCGACTCACAACCCACGCAAGGAAGATAATTCCGCACACAGCTGCAATTCCAGGTTTTCAAACACAGATGGCGACAAAGAGGCAAAACTTACGGACTGCAGCTTTAACTTGATGTACTAAAATAGCTAAAACAAATTAAAGTTAAAGTATATAGACAAAAACTAATAAAAAATGGCAAAAACGCACAACTAAATTACTAAAACTAACTAAAATGAAGAATTTAAATTGTAAAATAGCTTTTATGAGTCTTCATTTCATGTTAATGTATATTAGTACATTATATTTTTCAAAAGTACTATTGTTTTTTTTATGCGTAAATCTCTTTAAATTAGGGTGAAAAAAATCACTAGTGCATCTTTAACACAAATTAAGCTTTAATTTTTCTTTTCACAAATTAAAAATGTTGACAGCTAGTGCAGTATTTTCTTTGAATAAATTTAATTTGGTAGGTTTTTAACTATTGTCAGTTTCTCAGACAGGGTCTTAGTGTTTAGTGTCTTTTCTTTAAGCCGCCTTAACTGTGCATTACACAATTCACGAGACAAAATATTAAAAAGAAAATAATGAAACATCAAAGCTGAAGTAGATATCTCAAAGAAAATATTAGTGAGGGAGTCTTGGCAGGGTTCATAGAGCAAAGGAGTCACACATACCACAGTGGCTCAGTCAACACTATCAAAACTCACAGACTTATTAAATTGAAGCTAGATTCGACAAGTATGGAAATTATAATGTAATTTAATATTTCATAACAAAACCACAAAAGAGATTTTTTAATTCTAATTTCAGGTTTTGGACACAGGGTAGATTTCCTCTGAAAAAAAAAAAAAAGTGAGATATGTGAAAACTATCAAGGGCCTTGAATTTTTCTGCAGCAGCATTGCTCCGCATTGACTGTAGGTTTTAGATGGTTAGGCATTGGGTAAAATGTAGGAATGCGCTCTAATCTCCAAACCGAGATGACTCTATGATGAGGAAATAATCAGGGTTATTGCTGTTAAAGGGTTAGTTAGCCTTACAGTTACAGGGTTGATAATAAATATGACGTCTATCTCTTTAGTACTGACAAGAAAAATAGCACAAAGTATTAAAAATCCCCCCCTAAATGTTACAGGACGTGTACACTTGGCAACGTTTTGCTAATTGTGCTTTATTGTAATATACTAAATGTGTTGGTCACATGACTATTGTTGTAATTAGCACTATTGTTATACGTGTAGTTATTTACTTCACTTCTTTTAACTTATGTTCTTGTTGGCTATTTTTAACAGCAACAATAGCATTGGAATATTTATGTTGCAGCATGAGACACTGTATATGTGAAATGTATTATTTATATTGAAGAATGTACAGCAGGCTTACATTAACACCATCTGCTTATGAAAACCTTCAAAATCCTGACGAACTGAAATGTAGTTTTTAGTACACTGGACATGAGTTGCTGGTAAATCAAGTGTGCAGCTGACAGCTCACATATTCATGAAGCCTTTTGTGATACTGGACTGTTTCATTTAGTGTGGTGTAATATTTCTTTTTAAAGGACTGCGGTGATGACAGCTGTAGATGGGGAGATGAATGGTACGTCTTTCGGTTTCCTTTAGTGTGATCACTTTCAGCTAATGTGTTTTTTTGTGTACGGTGTTCTTGGTTTTCAAATATAACTCGTCATTTCAAACATTGACGGCTGGCTGTGTGATTTATGGCTCATGCACTCTGATAAGTATGCGATTCTGGTAAAAGAGTTACATTTTGTTCCACTTTTGATAAATGGACCAAATGAAAGGTCTGTTTAGCTCAGTGGTCAAAGGTTCAAAACCCGTGTCCTCCCTCCCGTTTACCCAGCAGGCAAAGCGGTCCTAATCTAATGCCTCCCCTACAGTCTTTTGTTCCTGGACGCAGGGAACCGGTGGACATCTGAGGGGGGAGATATTACATGCCTGCATTCTTTGGTTTAATATTATACAGTGACGCCAAGGTAAGGAGAAAAACATTCAAAGGGACTAACAGAAGAAAAACCCCATTATAAATGACATAAACCTGCATATTGTAGATTTCACATGTTAAATAACAAGCATCCCAAACACATAACAACTAAAAACAAACATATTACAGATAATTATGTTTCCATTGCACTGAAGGCAATTAATATAGATCTAAAAAATAATTCAGGTTTCAGTGACATGTGAAGCTACTTTAAAAAAAAAAAACTTAATAGAATTAAGACAAATAAATTCTCTTCAATCAAGTATGGTAAAGAGAGAACAGCATGTTCATCTAAAATTAATTTTATAATTTAATTTTATCCTAATATTAATATTCATTTTAATGATTAACTATTAGTATTAATATAAATATTAGTAATAATAATAATAATAATAATATTTAGAATGCGGATTTTTTTTCCCATTCAAAAACATAATTTCATATCTCTGATTATAAGTCCACCGCAGGTAGATTCTCACAGTAAAATTTAATATTGGTTTATGAAAAAACATCTTTATATTTATGGATTCAATTGTGCTTTTTGGTAAAATGTTGCTAAAATAGGATGCTAAATCTTCAAAAGGGCAGAGAACTACAGAGATGAAAGCAGAAATGCATATTTTATTGCAACTTCATGTATTAATATCATGAAAACTTTTAAAAATGATTTCTCATAAATAGTGTAGAATAAAACATCACATTGAATAGTTTGAATAAAGGTGTGCAAAAGATTGAGGCTTGTTTTTTTGGAAGATAATAAACCTTTTCCCAGCCTATTTCTTCCCAGTACCGAGTATAAAACACCTGTGTTATTGTCCTCATTAGCCAGAACAGTGACAAAACCCATCTATGTGGGCTGCGGCGCAGCATTTGCTGTTGGAAGAAAGTTTTATAAATATTTTAATTCATTGTACTTAGTCACACATTCAGGTATAATTATAGAAACGCAGACTTTACTGCTTACCTATTCCTGAAAGGTTGACGGTCTCAACACAGGCAAGGAAACGTGTGAGGTGAGGTTGACACGCTTCAGCAGAGCTCTGGTTCTCCTGCAGACAGAGCTCAAACACTGAAAACTCACCAGCACAATCTGTTCGGATCTTCCTTATCACTGGACTGCATTCAGATGGAAGAAAAACAGGAGGAAAACATAATAAATATAAAATAGTCTTAATCCCTGTATATTTAGGTGTTTTATCAGCTATAGGAAAATAAACTCTATTAAATAAAATACTACACTCTTGCTAGTTATTTAATTTGTCTACTAACATATCCAACAGTGGATTTTTACTTTATTTATTTTTGAAAAATGAACATTTGAATTCAGCCACTTTTACTGAAAGTTATGAACATTTCCACCACAGTCTCATTGCATTACATCTCAAATGATGCATTGTGTTTAATAGCATTAAGCGGAAATTACAAATTCGAACATTTTTGGAAAATTAGATTTAATTGAGAAAAAAAAAAAAACACGACTAAATACAGCGTGATGGGAAATAAAAATATAAATTATTCTTTTCCTTTATTATTAATCCTAAATGATTCTAAGAAACGTCAAATATTTCGTTTTCACTGACAGTTGTCTGCTTGGTAAACAAGTTCACCAAATTTTATTAGGTTTTGAATATGTTGTTACTAAATTATATATTTTTAATGTATTGTCATAGATCTAAATAAATAAAAGCATGGTAAAACAACACAGTTTTAATGAGATGAAGAATCACATTTAGATACATTTTTGATATATAGAAGAATACAAAACTTTTTATGGCCAAGAGAACATAAACGCATTTTGTCTGAAAGCATGATATATGAACATACTGTGATGAAGTGCACTGTGCCACCCTCAGCTTCAGGTCTAGACACTTCTCTTGCCAGGATGCTGGATATGTGACAACACATGCACCATATTCCTCCAGCTCCTTCTGGCAGTATTTGGTTGTGATGGCCATTGCCGCCTCCCTGTTATAATACAGTTTAATATGTATTAGATTAGCCTACATGCGACTTACAATGGATTCTCAACACTGCAGGTTCACGTTTTAGAAGGAGAACTAATATGACGGACAGGCGTTCAAGGACAGCGAAGTTTTAGGGTCATTTGAATACATAACACACATTCTAGTTCATACAATTCACTATTCAATTTAGCTAATGGAGTTGAAACAAAGCTTGGCTTGCTATCAGACTGTTACTGCCGTCGTATTACAGAGTAAGAACGACAATGTAATATACAACATGTAAAACAAGTATTTAACACACCGCTGTCAGTCAGAGCTACTTACATGTTGAACACCCTGGATTTTCACTCGGTTCTCGTGAAGGTTACTATCATCACGCACACGTGCAAAGAGAACGTCCGCACTCTCGCCGGAGGAATTCGATTGGTCAATATTTATGCTTACGCTGATCTTATTGGTCGTATCACTGGTTGGCGTGAAAGAATGGGCGTGGCTTTGAACATACGCGATTCTTTAAAATAAAAATTTTCATTCTTTTTTTTTATTGTCATATTTTGTTTTTAAAGAAACAAGTTAACCAGCACATAACCAAGTTATGTGCTAGTAAACCGGTTTTCTTTACTGATTCATTTATTTTCTTTATTATTCACTTTATTATTCATTTTCCTATAACACACACAAGTTCCAGTATGTTAAAATAAACAGCAATACGATTAAAAATATACAAGAAACAAACAATAAAAGAACGATAGAAAGGTCATATACTCATTCATACAAGAGGAAAGCAGCTTATGTGCCATCAGAGGTATCTTTAACACTTGTAGTGTCAAAATCCCTGTCCCTGTTATTTTTAGTATAATATACATACAGATGTAAGAAATTAGTTTGCTTAAATTAAAAAAATTAGAACATTGCATTATATATTAACATATTTAATTGCATCAAATATCGTTACATGTTCTAGTAGCCTTTCCGCCCTTACTACGTAAACGGTAATTTATTAAGTAAAACAATGTTTGTTTATACAGAACTTCGATAGAATAGAAAAATAGAAAGCTAGTTTTTGTTTTTTGTTGTTTTAAAAAAATAATAATAATAATAAAAAATAAATAAAGATAAATATAGATAAAGTAGAATTAAAATAGAATAGAAAGTGTTAGAGTTAGAGGGTCAAATAAAGGTGGAACAGATGTGTTTTTAGTCGTTTCTTGATTAATAATAATCGTTCAATATATGCCTTTTCTTTTATTATCCTATAGAATGTGACATTTTTTTATAATAGCATTTCCATATGAAATTTTCTGTCAATCCGAAAAATGTTCAGACAAGGACATGTGCCGGATATTGCGTCACCGGCGTACGTGCTTGCGTATGCGGAAGCTGTCGTATGTGTCTGAAATTCTTCAGAAATCTGTAGTGGCCACTAGACAACAGGCCGGTGCGAAGCTGCCTTTTTCCCATCAGCGCCTGCAAGGAGGAGGCGGAGGAGAGTAGGAGGGTCGACGGAGGAAGGCACACTGCAGAATGGATGAAGCTAAAAAAGAGGGCAATATGTCCGCAGACGGCGTTGATGGGCCGGGGGGGACGCAGGCGCGTGCGCCGAGCGATGAGCTGGTGAGATCAGTGTCTCTCCACAGCCGCAGGCCACGCGTTCTGCACGGTACGGTGTTCCCGTTTCTCCTCCTCTACCCAGGCTGCTTATATTCGTGGCTAGGAGTTTACGGAGCTGCCGAGTACTTTGAGGCCGGCCTGCTGGCGCTCGCCGCTCTCGGGATCGCGCACGTCCTGACAGTGCTTTCTGGCTACTGGTCCGTGCACGCGCACGGCTGGCTCACCTGCTCGAAGGTGAAAAATGTGATGAAAACAAATATGTGCTATGTAAACATTGAATATTAATATTACTTTGAAAGACCAACACATTTGAATGGTCGCTTTTATTGGCTAGGTTTGACTTAGTAAGTATATCGTCCAACCATATGTTTGGGACATCTCATAATTTCGCACAGTAAGCTGACTGTAATTATGCGATTATATTTTCAACAGGAGTCTGACCCAGCCAAAGCCACCTTTGCTAAAGTTATACCAACACCCAACCATGGTTCCGCAGAACTGGTGCCTCTACTGAGGGATAAGGTGAGATCTTGTTTTCATCAACGTTTAGGAGTCCCACTTGTGATCCTCAGCTGTCAAAACGGAATAAAGATATTAAGTGTAGCTTTTTTTATTTTTATAAAATTAATGTAGAATACTTTGTTGCAATATTATTATTTATTTTTTTATTTTGAGGGAATTTCAAGGTAATACACAATATTAATTTCTTTATTATGCACCATTTATTCCTATAGAAATACAAATATGCGAAATACATTTTCATATTATTTTCAGATAATACAATGTTTAAGTTAAAAAAACAGAGCAGAGGTATTTTAAAATCGAATGCATGGAAGACAGATTGGTGCCATTTAGTGGGAGAAATGAAGAAAATAATATGTAATACCATGGTGTAATCTCTAGATTCTTTTATAACCCTGTATATAATATGTACATATTGAGGTTCATATTCCCTAGTTGTTTATAAGTATTTTCAGACATTATTATATTAGGTTTTGCATTTAGATATATTTTTAGACATGATCAAAGACTACTTCATCTCGGCTGATTTGTAGATTGTACCTCAAAAAATTTCTGAACATTTTTGTAATTTTCATATTTCCCTTTAATTTCCAATGGCAGTCTTTTGTGTGTGACTTCGATTAGCCTTTTGTAATCACATCCATGATTGTGTGTGTGTGTGTGTTCATATAGCAAGTACCACAAAAGTCACCAAGTTTCATGGTATTCTAATAAAGTAAAAAAAAAAAAAATCAAAATATTTTTTGGGTCTAAAATGACCAAAGACCACCAGATTAATTAAATAGGATAGACCACCATCTCTTTATTTTTATTGTGATATGGTGCTTGTCTCAAATGTTGTTATACAGGTGTCTCACAGTCATACAGTTTCAAAAACCGTGATTGTCAGGCCTGGAAATGTCCTGGAAATAAATTAAATCTTTTTAATATTCTAAACATTCTAATATTTTACATTATCTAGGTGTCATATTTTCAATAATCCTTAGTTGGAAATCATGAACACATGGAAAAGTCAATTGTTCCTTAGTCAAAGGTGTGGAAACCCTAATTGTAGGTTATAATGATGATACAAACATGGCGGCGCGTTCATACGCTGCGGCTTCTCTCTCTCCCGATAGAAAGGTGTTTTCGCTAGGTGTCATATTTTCAATAATCCTTAGTTGGAAATCATGAACACATGGAAAAGTCAATTGTTCCTTAGTCAAAGGTGTGGAAACCCTAATTGTAGGTTATAACAGATGAAAAATGTCTTATGTAAAGCCTCATTTTTCGTGCAGGATGAGGATGGAGTGGAAATCCTGTCCTTTGAGTTCCAGAAGATCCGTTATGTGTATGACAGCAAGGAGAAGAAATGCTTTCTGCCAGTGGCATTTCCAATCAACTTTCCCATGAGTCATTTCCAAAACTGGAAAGGCTATCAGGAGGAGGATCAGTTACGAGCTGCAGAGAAGTGCTATGGCACCAACCGTGCAGAGATGATGGTGCCGGACTTCCTGGAGCTCTTCAAGGAGAGAGCCACAGCACCCTTCTTTGTCTTCCAGGTACGTCTGCAGAGCATGCGGTTTGATTTTACTGATATTTATGGAGCTTTTGCATGATGGATTGATGGTCTGTGCATTATAAATACATGAGTGTACTAGAAATGCATCATCGTCTTATGGCAGTGGTTCTCAATCCTGAAACACCAGCCTATGAGTATGGTATGAACTGTATGTTTTTGTTCCCCTGTAGGTGTTTTGTGTGGGTCTCTGGTGTTTGGATGAGTACTGGTACTACAGTGTCTTTACGCTCTTCATGCTTGTGGCATTTGAAGCATCTCTGGTGCAGCAGCAGATGAGGAACATGTCAGAAATCCGCAGAATGGGGAACAAACCTTACATGATCCAGGTAACTGCAGCTCCCGGCTCCAGTTTTGGTTCAGCTGTAGTTAAATGTCCATGTTGGTCTATTAACTCTTTTTGAAATGTTCTTCATAAAGCACGTAATGCTGGTTCTGTCTTCTGGTTGGTCATTACAGTGTTCCATCTGTGATGTCATCCACAATATAGTGACATATAGGCCTGGGCGATAAAACGGTATCGATATTTATCGACGGTACACCTTCTTCGATAACGATATAAAAAATGTTCGATATAGTGCATAATATAGGCACGTGCTATGAGTGACGCAGACAGCACACACAAACATGAACATGAGTGCTGTGCCTGCCTGTGATGAGGAGATTGTGAATAAAAAAAATGTATATTAGTCAAATTTAAAATAAATATTTGCATTTGAATGCAAAAATGGTACAATCGAATGTTAGGTGCGCGTCAGGGAGCGTCATCAGTGGAGCACGTGTGTTCACTTGTGTTATCTTTTACTAATATTTAAATTTGTTTGATGATCTGAAACATTAAAGTGTGACAAACATGCAAAAAAATAAGAAATCAGGAAGGGGGCCAACACTTTTTCACACCACTGTGTGTATGTATATATATATAATGTTTGTCTCAATAAATTGAGTTAATTTAAAAATACAGTGGTTAAATATAAACTTTTTTTTTCTATTGTTCTTTGTTTTAAAAAAGGTTATAAAAATCTCAATAATTATCGATACCGAACGATATGAAACATTATATCGTTGATACATTTTTTTGCTATATCGGCCAGCCCTAGTGACATATAAGAACAGCTACAATATAATAGAAAATGTTCTATTATTGTTTGCTTGTCAGGGACTATATATTTTATCGAAAGTATGGCGCTCAAAGAATATGCTAAATAAAATAGGTTTTATGTAGTAACTATTTCATAAAAGGAATAGACTGAACTTCAGTGCTTCATGTTAAACAGTGCCTATTGGCTGTGACTGTCTTCGCGATACGGCACTCCCTCTCTTACTTTATTGATTGGTTAATAAACAGCGACTTAGAATAAGAGTGAGATGTATAATTTTAACTCTTTTCATCTGTAACAGGTCTATCGGAACAGAAAATGGAGGCCTGTATCCAGTGATGAACTAGTTCCTGGAGACATTGTCTCAGTTGGTGAGTTTCATGGAATCTGAATGTCATACAGTTGCCTAAAAATATTTTTACATCTGAGACATGCTTAAAAATATGTATTTGCATTTTTATTTAAGCAAATTGTTTTACAAGAACCGTTCGAACATTTGGGGTCAGTACGTGTTTTTCTTTTTCTTTTTATTCTCAGCAAGGTTGAATTAAATCGATCAAAACTGACAATAAAGACTTTAATAATATTACAAAAGATTTCTGTTATCAAATAAATGCTTTTCTTTTG